GGGGTCCTCTGGGTTAGATACCCGCATCGCGCTGCCGCCCTCTAACCTGCCGAGCGGGCACCGGCCTTCACCCGGCGTCCAGCCAGCCCCTCGCCTCAGCCCTCACCCCGTAAGTTCCCGCCCGAGCGAATGGTCACAAATTCAGTGACTGCCCGGCTTTCTGTTTGTTCGTTTTTCTCCTCCAGTAGTTATTTTTCCAAGAGCAGTTTTTCACGTCTGTGTCACCTTCTGGCTGACAGAGCTCTGTAGTGTTTTCTTAGCTTATCTAAGGGCAAATGTCAAATTTATGTCGCTTCTACTATTTTTTATATCTGTGAAGCCAGATATTTTGTAAAAGAAGGTTGGTTTTGTTGCAGTCTGTTCCTGAATAACCCACCTTAGCTGTTTCTTACCATCTGCTTCCCGTCTAACTATTTACAAATTGATTGCTCAATAACTTACGTAAAATCTGTTCAGAGGCTGAAGTTAGGCTAACAAGTCTTTGCTTTCCTCAGTCCTCCTCCTCCCCTCTTTTAGAGGTATGCGCTAATCTGCCTCTCTTGTCCTCTCTGAGTTCTCAAGATGTCACTTTGATCAGCATTTTAAGCATCAAGGGTGGATTTCATAAGTGTCTGCTGACTTGAAAATCTTTATCTTATCTTTAACTTTATCCTGTATTCTTAAATCACCTTTTTCCACTTTGACCTCACCTTCTGTCTCCCTGTAAAAGGAATTTCATTAAATATCTATTCACAATTAACCTTTCTGCTGGGGGCTGAAATAAAGAAGACACTTAACACTTTGTCCTACTTTGTGTCACCTATAATTTGTTCCTTTTTCTCTTAAGTTATAAACCTTGCCTTCTGTCTTTTATTGTATTTATGGAAACTTTACTTGTTACCCTTTATGTCCTCCACTAGTTATAACTCATTTCTGTACCATTGCTGTTCTGATTTTATCCCTACATGATAGCACTGTCTCTTTATACTGTTCCTTAGCCGTGCACACACACCCCTTTTTTTTTATTTTTTGTGTGATTTTTCAGGTCATTAAAGCTCTCCTGATGCAGTTGAAACAGTCTTACACACTCTCTTTCCTCTGAATTGCTGTTGTGCATTTAATATAGTCCCTTTCAGTAACTGCCAGCTCTCTGATCTCTTCCATCTCTTAGATTATTTGCCCAAGAGTCATGTCTGCCTATTCCCTGAGGTTTTTTTATGAAGTCTGTTAGTTTTAGTCTGTTCTTCACACTCTACTTTCCTTAGAACAGGCAGTGAGAAACTTTGGCCAGTGGGCCAAATTCAGCTCACCAGAGCAATTCATCATGTCCAAATCCTTGATGCTCACTCTCCTAAGGATCCTTTGGACAAAAACTGAAAGTAGGCTGCAGTATGGTTAAATGGTACTGGTAGACCATTTCCTCACGGTGGTTCCCTTTCTATCCCAAAGTTTTGCATGACCTTCACATCACATGGCATGAACTGAAATGGGCCTCTGTAATCACATGGTGAAAGCATACGTGTTCTGTCATATCCAGTTGATGTATATCTCTTATCTGATCAAAATATAGCTATTGTCATTACGTTCCTGGATGTGAACCCATCATGGTACAGGAAATACTGGTATTTTGGTCATGTGTTAGATACATTTCAGGTCATGTGGTAAGACAGAAGTCAATGTTTTCTCAGTGCATGCATACGTGGTCTGCCTCTGCCAGAAAGATTCACTGTTAAGAATACTGATTTTGTGGTCACTTTCACATATTGCTTTCCATCTTCAGAGTCTCAGTCCAGTTTCAGTGAGCTCTTCCCTTCTAGTCAAAGCTGAAATGAAAAATGCCCATTCTTCTAGTAGCTTGCTCCAATTTCTGAAACACAAAGCTACTTTCAATTGTGGGAGGCTGTTCACCACACACACTGCATTCCTAGCCGATGCCTCGGTAGAGTCCCCCACTGGTGATTAGTTACCATCGTATCAGCTCTTGGATGGTGGCTCAGGAAGAGGTTCATTAAACTCCTCCTTTCTATGTGGTCTGTTGTTGATTGCTCCCAAGACAGCAAATTCATGGTTTCTCTTTGCTCCTTCTTAGCCTGCCTTTCCTCATTGCTTCCTTCATTTTCAGAACTCATTCCTTTTCTACAGTGCAGAACCACTTATGTCATAACTGTGGTTTCATGTGAAGACTTCCCTCCTGGGGGTTGTTTTGTTGGTTTTTTTAATGTCTTTTTGTCTTTGTTACAGCTTTACTGCAGTTCTGTGACCTCTTCTCTCCAAAGCTATAGCAGTATTTCTTTTAATTTTCTGTGAGCTTTAGTCTCTGTTCTTCTTCAAAGCCTCTCTTACTGCATTGAATTCGAGTCCTAAAACTCTCTTCCGTTTTAATATTGCATGAAATCTATCTCTTCCTGCCATTAGCATTTTGTGGAATGCTGTCCCATGTGCTTGTCTCCAGGATTTGTCTTCTCTGCCTAGTGAGAAAAATTCTGTTAGGCATATTTGTGACCCATGGCCTTGAATCCTTTACCCTTGCACCCACAGTTAATCCTTATACATCCATGGCCAGACCTAGCAGTCTGACCTAGCAGTGTCATTAGTGATCTCATGAATAGGTCTTGACAAATTTCCCTTGTTGTCTTTGCCATTGGATCCATGTGTGCCGCCCATTTCCCTGGCTGACAGGTGAGTATGTCAGATGGATGTCTGTGTCATGGTGGTAGCCATGGCATTTGCAGCTTTGAGACTTTTGCATCCCTTCCTTCCTGGCCTATATAGGATACCACGATAATAACCTGCATAAGCTTTTAATGGAATTCAGCTTCCATGAACTCCCTGTCCTTATGCCAGTCACAGGCATAATATTTTCCATAATTACCCAGTTTTCCTTACATGTTTCTTCTCATTATTCCATTGACCATTAGTTTCAGGAGCACAAAGTTATCTTACGGTACAATATTCTGGGGCAGTGGAAGATAGGGAATAGGAGAAGATGGAAAAAATATCATAGAATCATAGAATCATTGAGGTTGGAAAAGACCTCTAAGATCATCGAGTCCAACCGTCAACCCAACACCACCATGTCCACTAAACCATGTCCCTAAGTGCCTCATCTACTCGTCTTTTAAATACCTCCAGGGATGGGGACTCAACCACTTCCCTGGGCAGCCTGTTCCAATGTTTCACCACTCTTTCAGTAAAGAAATTTTTCCTTACATCCAATCTAAACCTCCCCTGGCGCAACTTGAGGCCATTTCCTCTCGTCCTATCGCTTGTTACTTGGGAGAAGAGACCAACACCCACCTCGCTACAACCTCCTTTCAGCGAGTTGTAGAGAGCGATGAGATCTCCCCTCAGCCTCCTTTTCTCCAGGCTAAACAACCCCAGTTCCCTCAGCCGCTCCTCATAAGACTTGTTCTCCAGACCCCTCACCAGCCTCGTTGCCCTTCTCTGGACACGCTCCAGCACCTCAATGTCCTTCTTGTAGTGAGGGGCCCAAAACTGAACACAGTATTCGAGATGCGGCCTCACCAGTGCCGAGTACAGGGGCACGATCACTTCCCTGCTCCTGCTGGCCACACTATTTCTGATACAAGCCAGGACGCTATTGGCCTTCTTGGCCAATTTACTTCTGTAACTGTGTTATTGAAGTGCTTGAAGTATTTTATGTTTGTCCTTGTATTAGTGACACATTGCAAGACAAAATTGATTAGCACATACTTTATTAAGGGAAAAATATAACATGAAACTTAGAATGACATATTTTGTTCCCAGACGTGTTTATGGATCTGATGTCTTGTAAAATTGTATGATGCTGCATTTTTCCTTCTGTTGCTTTCACCTTTTTTTTTTTTTTCTTTTTTTTCCCCCAGAAGAAATCGTTGTAGGTTTGGTGTCTTGGAAGTATGGAATCAATCTCTATGATGGGAAGTCCTAAGAACCTCAATGAAACTTTCCTACCAAATGTTGCCAATGGCATCAAGGATGCCAGTAAGACCACAATAGGCATCATTGGAAGTGGAGACTTTGCTAAGTCATTGACAATTAGGCTTATCAGATGCGGGTACCACGTGGTTGTAGGAAGCAGAAACCCTAAACTTGCTGCCGAGTTCTTTCCCCATGTGGTTGATGTCACTCACTATGAAGATGCAGTAGCAAAAACAAACATCATTTTTGTAGCCATACACAGAGAACATTATGCCTCTTTGTGGGACCTCAAGCATTTACTTGCTGGTAAAATTCTGATTGATGTCAGCAATAATACAAGAGTAGACCAATATCCAGACTCCAATGCAGAGTATTTGGCATCACTTTTCCCAGATTCCCTGATTGTCAAAGGATTCAATGTTGTTTCAGCTTGGTCACTGCAGTTAGGACCAAAGGATGCCAGCAGACAGGTAAATGTTATATTTGTATTAATTTAAGTTGTTTGTAAGATGAAAATGACAGGAACTGAATGTAAGCAGCCAGAACTCATGGGATTCATCCTGCCTGACTTAACGTACCTAAAATGTTGGGCCTTTAGTTTAAGTTTTAGTAGCCAATAAAACTCTCAGAGTCTAGTTCATCCCACAGTAAGACATCTAGAGTAAGTGGTCCAAATTGTCCCCTGGCATGCCTGTTTATCTTTAAAGATTGCAGAAGAAATGTGGGTACTAGCTTAGACTAGACAGCTGACCTTTAGATGACTACAGTCAGAGGAGAGGAGTTGGGTTTTAATGTCTTCTGTAGGAAATACGTTAATTTTTATCCCTATGCTCTATACAAGGATAGAGGCAGTCTTTCCCAGTATATTTTAGTTTCAGTATTGGTTTACATGGGGTGAAGTATTGAAGGAGATGCACAGGAATCTGTGCATCCCAGTGCTCAGGAGTCAGCTGTTCTAAAAATGCTTGCATTCAATGTAACAGCAAAGTGAATGAAAGAAATTATCTAGCTTTTAGAATGCCCCAAGATCATAAATATGAGGAAACAGACGGAGGCACATATGTTTCTAAGGGATCATTCATTTGATCCAGGACTGCTTGGGTATATCATGTTCAAGTTCCTTCCCAGTATGTTCCCCAAATCCATCCTGCATATAGAAAAGACAGGTTTATGTTTTTCATGCTTTGCTGAAGTGATACAAAGGATTTAAGCCTATGCAAGAACCCAGTCCTTCACAGCTTTATGGACTCTGAGAAATGCATGAGAAATGACTGGTGTAACGTGACTACTGGAGACTAAATTGAGTTTTCTGGCACTTCAGGTAGATTTCAAATGGAATGCAATTGATATAGAATTAGCATAATTTTAAAAATAATCTCACCGTACTATTTTTATCCCCTTTCAGAATACGGCTGCACTATAAGTAATTAACTTCTGTCAAAACTGATCATGTTTGCTCTAACGCAGATGCTCAGAAAACAGCATTGGGCAAACTATAGCCCACTGTACATTTTAAAGGAACTTCAAAGTACTTTGTAGCAGTACATTTCTCTCACTATGTAATAAACTGGTCTTTAGAAGGAGTTCTTATTTGGCTGCTGGTTTTTGTCTTTTCTGTTAAACATTAAGTTTTTGTGGAAATCTGGATTGTGAAGTTAAGCTAAAATGGTTATACATGGAGAGATTACACAGTTCTCCGCTTTGCATTCTGTTTATGCTACAGCTGTTTTAGGGTCATCATTCAAGATTCCTGTATTTCTGAGAGACTCGTGATTTTCTGAAATGCTTCTAGCCATTGTTTCAAGTTCAGTCCAGCCCTGCAGACATTTCAGTGTGGGGGGTTTCAGTGTGCAGATTACCAGGGCATCCCACAGTCAGCTCATTATTAACTCCAAGAAAAAGCCAATTTTGTTTTGGTTACTCTGTTGGTAAATATGCTAAGTGTACATATTTTCATTTTGGCTGGATTTGTATATGGTTTCATTCTCATCTCGGTGATAGAAGCTGGGATAACAGTGTACAGTTTTAGCAGTAGTGCTGTGGTTTTGACCTGGAGGCCCTTAAGGTTTTTTTGTGTGGGTTTTTTTTTTACCTTTGAGTCTCTTTCTCTGACTACAGACAATTCACTTGACTTTCCCAACAGGTCTATATATGCAGTAACAATGTTCAGGCTCGCCATCAAGTTATTGAGCTTGCCCGTCAGCTCAGTTTTATTCCTATTGATTTGGGGGCATTGTCATCTTCAAGGGAGATTGAAAACTTACCTCTGCGACTGTTCACACTGTGGAAGGGGCCTGTGGTGATTGCCATTAGCCTGGCAACGTTTTTCTTCATCTATTCCTTCATCAGAGATGTAATCCATCCATACATGAGAAATCAGCAGAGTGACTTTTACAAGATCCCCATCGAGATCGTGAACAAGACTCTACCAATTGTTGCTATCACTTTACTTTCTCTAGTGTATTTATCAGGACTTCTTGCAGCTGCTTATCAGCTCTACTATGGTACTAAGTATAGGCGATTTCCACCTTGGCTGGACAACTGGCTCCAGTGTCGAAAGCAGCTTGGACTGCTCAGTTTTTTCTTTGCAGCAGTGCATGTGGCATACAGCCTCTGCTTACCTATGAGGAGATCGGAGCGATACTTGTTCCTCAATATGGCATATCAACAGGTAAGCCAATCTTTAGTTCAGTAAGCCAAAAATGCCTTGGCTGTATGGATATGGCTCATGAATGCAATATATATGTTTTCTTAATCTGTTTCACTGTTTTCAGCGGAGAATATTACGGGTTATCTTATGTATAGCTAGTGCCAAGTAAGAAGGGAGACTAAAAGAAACATCTGTGCATTGTGCTCACCTCATGGGTCAAGCTGCAGTCAAGTTTGTGTGGTAGGGGAATAAAGGATGTGTCCTACTTAAATCCCTGATAGTAATATACACAAGGAGAATGTAGGATAGACAAGACAAGAGCAACAGCAGGAAACTTCTGAGTTTCTGAGGTATGTTCCTCTCTATGTATACTTAACATGTGGGGGAAGTATGTATATCGTAAGTGCATTTACAAGTGTGAACAAAGTATAAGGGTAGATACTATAATAATGATTACAGATACAACTATGTTTACAAAATGAAAATGCTGTTACTTTGTAACATTTTGGACCAGTAGTAAAAATATTTTATTTATTAAAAAAATCTGTGAACATTATCTATTCTTGGCCATAGAAATTAACTCTCAGTTCCCAGGAGCAATTGGTCTTGCATAACCCTGAAACAATCTCTGACAAATCTGTCATCCTTTAGAAGAGGGTGTGATGCTCCTGTCTGTCAGAGAGGTAGCTTATTGTCACCTTTAAAGTGGCAGAAAAGCAGCATTGCCAGAAAAGCGGCATTGCCATTCAGCACATAAAGTTTGCAGGAAAGAGAGATGTGATGGAACAGAAAGAAAAGCAAACTAAGGAAATCAAATCAAATGGAACAAATTAACGGGGATTGGGTCCACAAATTCGAAAAGGGCTAGCATGAAAAATTGAACTTAAGAGAAAGGCAGGAAGAGCAAAACTATAAAAGGCAGCAAGAAACTGTAATTGTTCACACTTTGTATTAGTAAAGGACCCACTGATACTTTTACTGAAAAATTATCTTGGTTTTAATAATATTGTAAAACTCTCACTTGCTAATATTCCTAGTGAAAAACTTTCAAGACATGCCATATCACAATAGTTCACCTGAAAGTGGAAAAATAATTGAATATCCAAGCTTCTTAATTGTTAAGAACCTGAGTTGTTTCTTTTTTCTGGTAAAGCTCTCCAATGAGAACAATCTTGGATGTATCTGATGTCAACAGTGAAAGAGGCAAAATAACTTGGACTCAGTATAGGGAGCTGAAGCAAAACCAGGAAATGATGCAATTCTATTTCTAAATGTAACAAACTAAAAACAAATTGCAGATTACCCAATTTATGTTATAGAATTTAAGTTTCCAGGGTCTGAAGAACACAGCTACTTTTCTACAGTATATAGGAATGCTCAGATTTATCTGTTTTTATAACATAATTGTTATAAATAGTATATAATGTTACATTTTCTTTTAACAGCTCAGATGAGTTTCCACATTTAACATATTTTTAATCTAAAAAGAGCCATTACCAGCAGTAAGGAAATAGTTGTTTTTCTCCAAGACATGAAGAAACCTCTGAAATATTTGACCCCATTTTATAGTTGTCCTGTGACTGTAGAGTTTTACTCAGCAAAGTAACTTCTGTTGATATTTTTAATATTCTGTAGAATAAAGTGCTTCCTTTCTGCTCTTTCATCAGGTTCATGCAAATGTTGAAAATTCTTGGAATGAGGAAGAAGTGTGGCGAATTGAAATGTATATCTCCTTTGGAATAATGAGTCTTGGATTGCTTTCTTTGCTGGCAGTAACTTCCATCCCTTCAGTAAACAGTGCCTTAAACTGGAGGGAGTTCAGTTTTATTCAGGTGTGTTACTTTTTAAATAAGGGGGTTTTGTTGTTAATAAGAATTCCTTGATGATGATCATGATCATGATCACAAACAAAAGCACTTTGCAACATGATGAGAGCTTTTTTTTATCCTCTCTCTGGTAAGTTAATAAAAACAACATATCCTTACTCAGCAGATATATTACCATGAAGGTGCTTTAAGCATTTCATGAGTGTTAGAATAGGAATTTGCATTTTACACTTCTTGGTCTTAAATAACCAATGTAGCTAAGACCAAATGAGCACTAAGCTATTCCTTTTCCATTGTTAGAATTTCTTGCTAAATTCAAATTAGATGAATTTGGACAAACTTGCTAAAGGCAATGATACTGATGAGGTACTACTATATGTAGATGCACAAAACTGTTAAAATTGAAGACTTAATTTGTCCTGCAGGATTTTTATTGCACAGCCCTCTGACAGCCGTGGTGTCATTGATTCAGTTTTGCTTCCCCTCTTCTGTGTGGGAATTAATACAGCTCTCAACTGCGTTATTCCCATTAGCTGAAAATACCCATTAGTAAAATATGAAGCTTTGTTTATTAAAAGCAGAGGCTTTTCCTGGTCCTGGCATGCCTTCCGCGGCCCTCTTTCCTCAGATAAATATCTACTACAGGCAGACCTAACCAGCATAAAATACTGAGAAATATAGGCTTTAATAAACAGCTTAGTGTTTGCTTCCAAACAAAATTGCCATTAGTTTTAAGTAGCAGTCAGTGATAAGAACTTTTATTAGGATTCAGTCTTGTGATAAATTTCCTAAGTGCATACACACAATTTTGGGTTTTGTTATGTTTTGTTTTGTTCTCTGACTTTGGATTCAGTACTCTAGGTTTAACTCAGTCTTTTCTGATTAATGTTTTCTCAACACAGATACTGTAATAATATTGCCTAATTGTTAGTCCTGTCACTGTTTACAAATTCCTACCTTCAGAACACAGGCACTGGCTTTACTGTTCAGGGCTTGAGTTGCACTTCATAATTTACAGACATTTTAGAGGGAGTGATGGGGAACACTTCTTTGGCTGTAGTTGTCAGAGGTCTTCTGTCTGTAAAGTCTTCCCTTCCCCTAGGTTTTCCATTGGTGGAACACTCCAGGTAGGCCTACAAAAAGTTTGCTGAAATATTTTTCAAATTAGAGTTCCCCTGACAGAACTATTTATTTTCACTCATAGTTTTGAGCCTTCAGAGGGAGTAAATACCCATTTTGTATTGTTGCAACATCCCTGCCATCCAGAGTTCTCTGTGAGGGGACAATAGTACTGCTCTTGGGTGATGTAAAACATTAGTGCAAAAGGGAAAAATATATGTTCACTCATGAGTGAGGTGATGCCTTTATCCAATAATGACTTCCAGCCACAAACCAAGCATTTGTGTCTTGCTTTTCCTTACTCAAATTTCCAAATTTCAGGCTTGTGTGACTGAGTCAAAACCCACACAATAATCACATAATGATGTGTCTACAGTTTCTCACCTCAATACTTCCCACTGAGAACAACATGTTATTGTTTGCTCATCTTAGTAAATGCAGTTTCACCAAAATAAGGGTCTGGCCTCCTCTAAAGAGTTTTACCACTAAAACATACTCAGTCTTGAGTCCTACTAGGAAAATCTGAGTTTAGGATTAACAGATTATTAACATATACAGTATAGACTATTTTCTAGCCTTGTTCCAGTAGTACAAGCCCTGAGCAGCATCTCCCCTACCTACAGTGGTTCAAACAGCCTTCTACCACAGTCTTCCAAATACTGTAAAGAAACTCCAGTTGTGAATGTTTTTGCCCAGAAATCATTGCTGTCTTTGATATCCCCAATTATTTTGGAGATGCCTCCATCTTACCTAGCGTGGTTTCACAACACAGGCATCAGCAGCCCCAAAAATTCCAGCCTGCTTGATCAAGGGAAAAGGACTTTAAGAGGAGAAGCACTGCAGGCTCCGCTCATTCCCTCAGTGTATGAATATGAACGAAGTGAGATATGAGACAGTGGAATAGTGATGCAAAACGGAGTTACTGTGTCAGCCCACAGGGAGCTAAGAGACCAGCAGAAAACTTGAGTTGCTGCAGTAAAGAGCTGACCACTGTACAAAACAAATATCTGATTACTTCATCATGATTCAGAGAGAAACACTCATAACATCCAGATGGAGGAGCCACAGAACCAGGCAGTGATGAAGAGTTTGCTCAGTAGGAGATCCTAGATGATGGAAACTTAGCATGAAACTTTGCAGGCATCTTAACATGACGCAGAGTTGGAGCTTACTGAAGAAAGAAGCAGTGAAGAAGCTGGGGCTGATAAACCAATGTATCAGTTTTCTTAAACGCCACTTCGGTACTCTTCTTTTTCTCTTCTAAACATACTTGGGTAAGGAACAAAGGTAGACGTGGGCAAGGAATAAAAAAGAATTCATATTTTGACAGAGCAGGCAGAATAACTAGCCTAAACCAACACACTGCAAACAGAAAAAGGCATTTATTGAAACCAGTCCTTGAGCGTTCACATAAATTACATGGAAGTGGAGAATGTTGTCTGCAAGCAGTGCTGCACTGGGTCCTTCAGTGTTCTGAAGGAAGTTAAACTGTAAATATATAATTTAAGTATAAATGACTACTGCTTTTGTTTTCCAGTCTAAGAGTTCAAGTCCAAAGCACATCAATCAAAGTGGCAATGGACAGAGCAGACTGGCTTTGAAAGCTGAGCTTTATGTCTCTTAGCAAAAATCAGCAGAAATCTGCCATTTGCATAGTAGGAAGCTAATCTTTTTATAAACATTCCTTTTGTCTGCTAGCACAATCCTAAAGTTTTTTGGAGACAGTATTCCTAAAACTTCTCTTGCACACACACTTTGAGGAAGGGCTGCCCTGCCTTGGTTGTCACACAAGAATAGGATACTTTTCTCCCAGATTAAAGAAGAATGAGGCTTGAGTATTTAGCCAGTTTATGGATAAGATTCCAGCCAGAATTGCTACAGCTTGTTTGTAAGTTTAGCAATATCCTGTTACTGGGGGAATCTGAAGTATACCTTGCATAAACATAGGCTTTGGAAAATACCTTTTGTATATATAAATGGCTTGGAACTACTCAACCATTGTGAAGGTAGAAATTCCTGAAGGAGATTTGCCCCACAGCAGATTTGTGTCTCTATATATGTACATCTTCCTGGTAACATTTTAGGGATTTTTATCCTGCATCTTTTCCACTCCTCTAACACTTTTTTTTCGCCCCAAACAATGCCAGTTTGTCCAGTTTATCAATGGCCTTGGCTGGGAATCTCCCACATTGGCTAAAAAACTGACTTTGATCAGGAAGGAAAAAAAACAAAACAGGGAAGACTTAGAGAAAAGCTAAAAGACTGGGGAGTCCGTAGGAAATGTGCTAATCTATTACTCAGCTTCCAGAAAACACAGTATTATGAAAGATAAGGAAGCAAAGCAACCAAAGATGTTCTTCCCCTTTTCCCAGCAGCCATCCTAGCGCCTAGGTGGAGGGTTCCCAAGACTTAAAACTGATATTGCTACTCATTCACCAATGTGAATTTACCAGTCAAAGAAAAGTATCCCTTCTTGCTGCTTTCAAAAGTCCTCTGCTCTTAAAGAAGTTATCATCTTGTGCCTCTCCTGGCCTCCCTGTGGTAACATCAGTGTAAGTGATCTTCCAGCTCTCGTAGACATACTCATCCCTTTCCTTTTGTGTCTTAAGAAGCCAGGAAAAGATGACAGAAATGCAATATATATATTCCATCTGAAGCACAACTACATTTCAGGAAATCCATTGTCTTTGATCTCTGTATTCCCTCCTCCACATTGTCCAGTCATAAACTTGTGCAGAAGAAAATAACCTTGCATACCTGAATGGTAGCAGCTCTCTCACCTTTCCAGTATTAAACAGATTGCTTTCTAGCAATTAGTAACTCCCACAGCACAATCATCATTTATTTCTCAATAACTGAAACATCTTTCATGTTAGCATCCATAGGGATGGCCAGCTTTGGAATATGGCTTTCTGACACTACCGCTGGCCAAGATTTGTAGTATGATCCAGTGCTACCAACTGATTTTATTTTTACTGTTCAGCTGCCCAACAGTGCCTTTTCCTGCACTAGCTGATGTCTTTTTGTCCAAGCCTGCTTCAGTCAGTTCTGAGTTTCTTCATTTTACTACTGTACAGCCATTGCTGTAGTCTTTGAACATTTGCGGATACAGAAAAATCAAGTCTTTATAACAAACAGAGGAGTTTTGTACTGACACAGCCTCCTGCAGTGGAGTTTTACTTAAGTAGCAAAGGCAGCCAGTCTTGCTTGTACTTCTGGAAAAGTCATTGTCAGTAGCTGCAAGCTGGGATAAATGCTCTTAATGGAACTTTCTAGTGCAGATCTGCCCTGACTAAACAAACCAAAGACTGCACAATGCAAAGTTGTGTGGAGGACATCCTCTTTCTAGCTAAGCGGTGTTATAACTGTCAAAAGTACAGCACAGAAATAGGGCAAGTAAGGGCCTGGTAGAAGAAAATACCATTGGTAACTGACAGAAGCTCCTATAGGAGTGTCTTTGTTGTCAGATTTTTCGATGAGTGGTTGAAATCGTCCAGTACATACTAGCACATGCCCTACCAACACTTCAAAGAAGCATATGGCAACTTTCCACAGGGCAAAAAAAAGGACTTAATAGAAGTGCATCATATGTTTTTCTTGTCCTTGTGGTGTTAGTTCAAAATGTACTGATAAATGTACTGATGTACTGCTTAGCTTCCATTTTGACCATTGGATAGAAAGACATATATAGATGTCTCTGTAGTTTGCAGATGGAATTTAAATAAGCATTTTTTTTTTTTTTAAGTATTTGGGAAGAGTCTGTATAACATTTCCCTCCTGTTTCTTTTTCAAGAATTGTTATAGTTCTCGTCAGTAAGCCTGATGAAGAAATGAGGGATATGATTCATTTGTGCCCTTCTCCCTGCTGGCAGTGATATAACAGCAATGAATTCAGGACAGTCATACCAGCAAAAATCTGCAATAACATATTCAAACATCAGCTTTGATAGTATTGTTTGCTATCCAAATTTCTTACCAGAACTTCCGTTCAGATACCGCATATGCCATTTTCATATCCACAAGTGGTTGTCTGATTGTTCTGTTTCTTATGGAATATTTTGGGAGCAAATTGTTCTTTTTTAAGAAGAAAGGTGCAGGATATCTAAAACGTACCAACATGGCTCTGAAACCATTGGCAAAAAAATGCATAAATATTTGCAAGTTAAAAAACATGGTACCAATCTCTAGAAATCAATAAAAGTATTTTCCTTTTTGTACCATTGTATCTGTGAATCCTTGCAAATGGTATTAGCTCAGACATTCTCCTTTCCCTAGAAACTGGTTAATCTTGAAGTAGAAAGAATGAATTCTTTCACTATTATAGACCTTAGGCTGCATTTTTCTCTGCCTGTCTGTTTACTGGAATTAAACCAAACCTTGGTAGCCAGTTACCTTTCTTAATATTCATTCTCTGTTTTGATGATTTTCTACAAACGTTTCCCAACGAAGTTACTCATTACATCAGTTTTGGCCAAAAAGAGTTTTTCTTCATTTGAAATGATCACCATCAGAATTCAAAGCATAGTACTCTTTTTTACCATGGTTTGGCAAAGTCAAGGTTAATACATTTAACTCAAATCTGCCGAGCAATAGAACTACAGGATTCTTAAAAGGGCAGATTCACAGAAACGGTGAATGACCGCTATTAGCACTACCTTCTGTGGCATGCTCTAGATTAGGTGATAAGAGGTCCTCTGCAGGGTGCTGTGGAAACCTTGTACTTCACGTTTCATCCAGCACTACCTGTTTATGATAAACTGCATCGTTGCCTTGTGCCATTATGCCCAAGTCCTGCAGTCCAGATATTCCCGTTAACCAGCAGGCAACAGCTGATGGAGAAGGGTAAGGGATGGTTTATGCTAACTTCAGACAAGTGGATGTAGGCCACTGTGAGGAAGAAGCAAACTGCACCTCTCAGAATGATAAAAAACTGGAGTGTTAGGCCCAGATCTCTTCCAGCAGAATTGCATTGTTCCATAATCATGAATCTTGGAAGTGATCTATCCTCATAATTAAGAAACAGGGAACTTACTTAATTTCCAATCACAACTGATGTTGTTCCAGTAACTTCACTGGGATTGTTCCTTATTCGCATACATATCCTGAAGTTGACTTCCATTACTTAGAATTTGGGCAAACAGCATCTTCATTTCAGCTTTGACTAAGGCCTATAGATGCTAGCAGAGATATGTTATAAATCAGTGTTCAGTCCATAGTTTTCAGAACATGTGAACTTAAAACCACATACTGTTAATTTAAAATAGTGTATAGGTAAGAGATTTTAACATGATGTCTAATAGAAATGTCAAAATAATGGGTTATGAAGGACCAAGTACTATTATCTCTTTTTCTTCTGTTTTCTCTTTTTTCGAAGTCTACACTTGGATACGTTGCTCTGCTCATAAGTACTTTCCATGTACTGATTTACGGATGGAAAAGAGCTTTTGAAGAAGAGTATTACAGATTTTATACACCACCAAATTTTGTTCTTGCCCTTGTTCTGCCTTCCATTGTAATTCTAGGTAAGATCATTTTACTTTTGCCATGTGTAAGTAGGAAACTGAGGAGAATTCGAAGAGGATGGGAGAAAAGCCATGTTACAGAAGAAGCAAGTGGGTCAGTTCCTCATCTCTCCCCGGAAAGGATAACTGTGATGTGATGATAGACTAGTATTTGTTAGCACTGTTGTAGATGTTTGGGGGGAGGGGTTTGTCATAAACTTGTATTTTCAGGAGTTTAGTTAAAGTATGAGTAAAGTCACTGTGGACTTGCTTGGCATATAGTACAAGCTCTCAACCAAACTATGAGAAATTTATAACTAGAAGACTACTACTTCAGATAACTACAAAAATATTTTCATTTTGAATTACACAGGGCAGATGATTATGAAATCAGAATTTTTTAATGCTCCTTTGCACAGTTATATCACAACAGTATTTTATTACAACCGTGCTTTCCAGATATTTCTTTGACTTAGAGCGTATGTGTCAGAGTGCTATTTATTAATACCACATTTTCTGGGCAGTGTTTCTTTTATTAAAACCACACTTCTGGGTTACTAAGTTCAGAATATATACTAATAGTGTTAATAATTTAGGAAATAATTGGGGTTTGAAACAACTTAATTTGTAATGATGTGTGTATTGCACATGTACAGTATATTTATTTGTGTGTGGTTTTACACCATTCCATGATTTGAATATGCAAAACCAGTTTCAGTTATGGTGTAATTGTACATCTTGTAAGCAAATGGTATTGTACTAACAGAGTCGTCTTTTTTCAAAGTATCATCACATAGGATTTTAGACCTTTGGCATCTTTATATTTCCCTACATCATATAATGAAAATTCAAAACAGTGTTACACATGTATAGAAAAACTTGCAGATATGTGTGCAAGCAACTAGTTTTTGATTTTAGAATGATTTTGAAATATCAGGAAATATTTTAAAACCAAAAAAAAAAGCTGAGAAATCTGCAACAATAAAAATCCATTTTCACTGTGAAACCTCCAGTATGTTGGTACAACAGGGAAGCATCACAATACTCATGTTCTATATGTTTCTACACTGACGTTTCAGTTATTATATATGAATTTCCCAGAGTCTGTCTTACAATCTTAGTATCTTTTTGTGCAGATACAATCTTCTATTTTTATATAAAAGTCTTACTTTTACAATAAGTGTCTGTGGGATATGCCTGAATTTTTGAGAAACAAAATTATTATTCTTATACTTAAAAGTGAAAATTTATCTTTAAATCTTGACATTTGCATTTCCTGTGGGATTCAAAGTAACGTTCACAAATACTACTGCTTTGTCAAGTTCTACTCTTCTCTAACAAAATAGCCAAACTCAACTCATATACCTTCAGGCCACTCCTGCTTAATTAGCAAACCCTTTATTTCAGTGAATCAGAATGTGTATTTGGTCCTAATTTTGTTTATTTGTATTAAATTATATTTTTCTTACCTATATTTGCACTGTTTAGGATCTCTGACTTTCTTAGCTGAACCTTCACTTATTATTTATTACTTTGCAAGAACTTGTCATCAATATGATACATCAGAGATATACAGTACTTAAGCCTGAATTTATCCTTAAACATCACTAGTCCTGTACATCTCATTATCGCCGTTTGTAGTGAAACCAACAGCTCCGCAGAATGAGAATAATCTAGAATCAAAATCTGCTGCCAGTTACACCAGTCTAAATCTAAAGAGTTCAGGTTAGTTGTTCTTAATTTCATTTCAAACTCAAAAAATCTATGACAATTTTTTTTTCATTGTAGTATCCATATTCCTCAAACTTGCACATCAAGCCTGTGTATATTCAGGGATGTTGCAAATCAAGAGACAGTTGAACTTTCATTTTAAGCATGTTCAAATCTAGAGATGAAAAATAATATATTTGCATGATTTTTTCCAGAATTAAAGCATTTTTTATATGTCTTTAAACATGTTTTGTATCTAATAAGAGGTCAGTGAATTCTTTTTCTCTTTGAAAATGGAGGTTTGTGAAAACATCTTTTTGGGGAAAAAAATCGACTATATTTCATGTGTCAACAGAAATTGAGAAGGTTTTTTTCAGTTCACAAATTTTCAATTTCAAATAGTGGAAAAAATCAGTTTTATCCTCCTTTTAAAGCTATGGGGTGGGGGGAAGCAATTGGAAAGAGAAAATTCATTTTCTTTCACAATTTTTTGAAAAGTAAACGACAATAACAGCTATAATTGGTCAGACTAAGGTCTTTGAGACTTGTCTCCAATAGCTGACAAGTGGCAGATGCTTCCAGAAAGAGGTCATATGTCCAGTGATTCTTCTCCTGACATAACCTCTCAGCCTCTTGGAAATCAATATTTTAGGGCTTATTTGAGACAGGTGCTGCCTCTGGACTACAATAATCTATCAAATTAATAAAAAAATTTTGCATTCTTTATTTTTTCCAAAAACAAATCAGTTAGTTTCAAGGTACTAGTTTTATTGTCCCACCTTCAATATGCAGCTATTTCAGTGATACATGTGGTGATGCACAAGCACAATATATTTTATCAAACATTCTAGTGAAAAACTGAAAAACTTGTCATTGTTGGATAGACAGGAGCCTAAATGAGTAAGAATGAGATTTTCACATAAGAATGAAAAACAAGTGACAATTACAACTTCTAACTTACTATGCCTGTCTGTAAATACATTCCAATACAGAAAGCTGTATATTTCTTGAAAGGCTTGCAGAATTACACATAACTGAATTTCCTGGCCTGTTTTCCTGTTCCATTATTGCAAAGGGAAGCCACACAAAGCTTACGCATTTGTGCTTCAATCCTTTAAATAAAATTAACTTAAAAAATCTTAGAATACATGAAGTCTTGGAGAATTTTAATGGGATAAATACCACGCTACATTCTACCCCAGTCCTGTGCATGAAACCTGATTGAAATCACTAGCATGGGATGGTGTAACCGAGAGCAGAATTTCATATCTCTGAACAAATTTAGGGCAGAAACCATTACTGTTGACAATCTGATTACATTTCAAAATTAAATATGCTGCTATTATTTTATAGTAATTCTACACTTCTGTAGAAAGGGTAATTAACATTCAAGTTCCCTACAATTATCTAATTCATTTGATGCAATAGCGATAATGTTGCAGAACTAAGATACTGTACTAATTGAAAATTACTGTCAAAGTCTGTATATTTTGTACTGTAATGCAACCACTCACAGTATACACAGAAATGTATTGGCCCTCTTTCCTATGCAAAAAGTCATTTCATCATTAAATTTCTTCAAGAGTGTTTAAACTGTTACATTCTGAACTGCCAAAGGTGTCTGGAGAGAATAATGATGTGTTGTTCCTTTTTTCAAACTGCGTGTGTAGAAAATTAAAAATGTGTTTTGATTTTATAAGTTACTTGAAAGGTTGAAATATTGAAGTATTACTAAATAGATGATATTTTTAGATTAAATATATGAAGACATTTTGTGAAATATTTGTGCTACAAAATGACATACGGTTTCCCGTTAGGCTATGTATTTACTTCTAACTGGAATAACAAGTTTACTTGCAATTTAATATTTTGTAGTGTTCTTTAAGGACCAATTCACTCTAACAAGACACTGTTAAGTCTGAAAGTAAAATGACACTCATGCGTTTACTACACATTATGTATCATATCATGCATATGTTTAGTCACATAAGGAATCTTTATTCACATCATCAAACACATTGATTTCTGTAGAACTCACATCTAAATATAAACAACTAAATACATTTAGACATTTTAGTTACTTAGGAGAATAAATACATATTTTGAGGAATAGTCTGCTATAAAAATATTTTTGTGTAGCTTTATATAAATTGCTTACTGCCTAATGAAAAATGAGTAATGAAATAAACTTCATTTCTCTTCATTACTGTTCAGTAAAAAAAAAAATAGCGCTTAATATGTAACAGACAACTGTACACATCATATTAGAAAATGGAGACCTCTATGTATTTAGCAACAGGTTATTTGTTTTCTATGGATATTAAGGTATTCTTTCTTAACATTGTCTAAAATACAGTTCTATTACAGGTTCCATATGTGTCTTTAATTTTATCTTACAATTCTATTAACTGTGGCAACTACGTACAAGTTAATTAAGCACCCATATTCTTGAATTATTTAGAGATTAATTATTTTGTAATTGTTTTGCAAGTTCTTTGCATATCTAGCTTGTGGTAATGGTTACTGTGAATTGGTGCCATGTTTAACTTTTTGTTCCAACATTGTGCGTTATATGATGTGCCAACATGAGGAAGTACATTTGTATTTTTATTTGGCATTAATTGCCTATAAAATAGTGTGTCTGTGTGTGTGTGTCTATATGTTATTAGCTATACATGCTGCCCAACTAGCACTAAGGGAAATTATTAATTAATATAAGGCAATGAGTTCCCAAGTGGCTATAAATTTCACAGGTATGAATATAGTTAGGAAACAGCTTTCCTCTGAATGTCAAGATTGCCTCTGAAAGTTAGATATATCAGGTGCAAAAAAATTAGATAGATTGAGTTTTTCAGTGTAATATTTTCATATATGCAGTGGTAATAGATGCATATGCATAGTTCCTTTGACAGTGCATCTCCTAATACACAAGTTTTTGATTTCTTGGCTGTTCATCCTGTAGTATTTTCTATCAATGTGATGAGTAATGTTGCAGCACTGATATTGTATCAGTATATGATACTGCTTGAATTAATTAGATTACAGCCTTTAAAATAAGTGACACATTGAACTGACTTGAACAATGATCTCTATCATTATATATTGTTTCTCATGCCTTGCTGGCAGTGTCTTGCAGTGAGCATAGTACAACTCCCATGTGCAATATTCTCTTTGTAGTTGTGTTTGTCAATTTGTTTGTGCTCTCTCTCTGAACAGGGCTATTATAAATTATTAGTAATGCTTTTATCTATTTTTCCATAGACTGTGTTTTACACAAAAATCAATAAAAAGTCAATGTCAGGTATTTGGCTTTTTCTTCTGTGCTTGTGCATAATAAATTTTAGCTTGCTTTTCTTTATAATATGTGTGTGCTCTGATCAACATTTTCTCTGAGAGGTAGAACTTGAATGTGAGTTCATAAAAAAAAATTCTAAAGGGCAATTTGTTT